TTAGCCATACGATTATTGATAGCATGATTATGACTAATTCAAAACCATATTGACATTGGTAAGGTTCGCGATGAATTCTTGTGACCGTCTAAAAGAATTAACTGAAAAGTGGTCAAGCTTAGTTTCTTGGAAAGAAATAATTACACAACTCAAGAGGCATATGAGAAGCTAATGTAATATAAAATGCATGTCATCACTTGGTTAGAGTAGGAAACTCCAGATTTGGTTCCAGTGAAATACGAAACTGGAAAGATTTGAGCAGAATTGTATAAAGAGCGGCTTGAGCAGAGCTTCAATCTAAAAATGTTGCCAAAAAGCGTTCTAAGCATATGACAAATAGATAGATTGAATAGATTGTTATTCTTTTCTAAAGGGAAAAATCATTTGAAGAGGTGAGTGGAAGGGATTCGTAAATTTGTCCCACTGGAAGTCGAAGGAGGATTGCCATGAAATTGTGGTATTTGGTATTTATATCACTTTGAAATGGTTGCATTTTCATTTGGCAATATTGCTTTATACATGATAAGCATTGGGATATCAAATTAAATAAAAGTCTGTGACAGTTCTGCCAAGGCTTAAAAGTAGTGAGCAAAAATAAACATATTAAATGATAAGATTATGCTTGATGGGAGACCAAAGCACATTCTAAACTTAGAACTAAAATATTGGGTACTTGGACATTGCATTTTTTGTCTTTATCTAGCCGCAATGCTACAAAATACTGCTCACCTTTTTTGAACGAGCTGATAGGAGGTATCGGTAGGGAAGATGTTACCTCGTTGTCAGACACCCAGTCAACCCATATTTCGGCGAGGCGAGAACACCAGTCCTGGCGACGACGGTCTTCCGATGCCAGGCCCAATCGATTAGCTGGTATCACCTGATAGCCACCCAAAACAGGTAATACTAAGACACTAGGGAAGGTGGAGCGCAATGCATCTGCGAGCAAACGAGTTGAAGCAAGAAGAGTGTCCGGATTACTTGCAGCTGAAGATTGGAAGGAGCCACTGCATGCAGCATTTTAAAGGCCGAATACAATAAAAACAAGATTGGATGAGATGGCTTATAAATAAAATTCACTAGAGTAACAGTTCAGAAGATAAGACAATCCTAACGCAACATATTCAATGGTAGAATCGGATTCAAGTTCGGTTTAGTGCTTACATTGATATATGCAAGGCAGCGATCCAGTTTTATTACGTTTCTGTTCAGATATGATTAGACGACACAAAGAGACACAATAGGTAAAGCGTTTAATAAATGAATTTACAACCTATGACAATAGTGGGAAATTTAGAGAAGGAAAACATAAATGTTTAAAATAATCTCTAATGCGATTTTGCAGTATTTCATTTAATTTGAAAAATAAGGCCATCAGTGGAGTTTAGGAAGCAAGACTTGAATGAAATCCGAAAAGGCAAGAGGAAACAAATA